ACTTTACTTAGTCCAGGTCGCTTAAGATGATTTTGAGACTGACAGTGGAATTTTTAAGCTGGATGCAGAAGCGTTTTGGAGGGCAAGGCTAAATAAAATTTAATGGTATCCGAAGTTCTGTTCCTTTAATATTCGTAGATTCCACTGTAAATAGTTTTATCACATTTAGCAACCTAGGCTAGCTAAAGTATTTGTTCAAATATCACTGATTGCCTTGAAGTCTGTTCGCATAGAAAAATCATAGATATAAACAAGATACTATTATTGGGCCTTGATCGCACAAGTTTCTAAAGGGCTATCATTTAAATTTTCCGACAACATTTGTGGTCTTTACGAAGTCATCTAATTTTCTAGGCCTATATTTACCTCTTAAAAAGTGTATATTACTACCTTTTTTGATAGGCAATGTTTTCTAAGCTGGAGAAAAAATAAATATCTATGCTGACATGCCTTTTATTTCGTTTAAACTGGCGTATGTAGGGGTTCTTAAAATGACCTCCCCTTGTACCGAAGAGAAGTGCTCTGGGCTTATGACTGTTGGTTTGTGCGAAGATACCATTGGATCACCGTCCTACCAGCCCAATGAATCCTTGTTGAGCCCTCGTCCATCGTGTGACAGGCATCTTTACAGCCAGAAACTATTATTTACGAGCAAATACCTAAAAACACTAAACCAAGAAAGGTGGCTCACAAAAGGCATACTTACTTTTTATACCTAACTTTGCTATCCTATAATTTAGTTGGCTGACTCAAACCTACTTTATATGCATATAAATAGGTGAAGTTGATACATGACAGTGGGTCTAGTCAAAGCTTTTCCTTATTCAAATAAACTAGCATATGATTCTGCAATACTATTGCTTGCTTTACGCTGTGGATGGGCATGTATTTTGCTTGTGAGATACACATGAGTTAGTTAAAAATTTCGAGCCAAACCATACTGCAGGTTAGTCAAGCTTTCTTCTCTACCATGGTGACTCTTCTTGCTATTTTCTTTTATAGCTTTTTCTCTCAATCTATCCAGTAGCCAGAAATAGTTCTTCCCTAATTTTATACACTCGTTATCTTATTCAGGATATTGTTTATTTTGTTAATTTCAATCGATTATCTAATCTTACGCTTATTTGTGAATTCTCCATATCCAGCAGAACGTTGGGTTTTACATCACACTCTAGTGCGCTATAATGATTATTTATTTTGCCGGCTCCGATTTTTGAACATATAAATCCTTTCAGGTAGTCCTGACAATCTCTTATGTATGGCTCAACAAGTAACATGAGCACAAAACCGCTTCTGCAGAGACGATATAAAGATTCTCAGGAAGAAGACTTAACTGAGGAAAGTATTAGTGGCGCCCCATTTTCTCAGTAATCCACTTCTATTTTTCGAAGGCTAGCAGTGCAGTAGCATTAAGAGCTACTTAATTGCTTGTCTTGTCCTAAATAGTGGTTTTCTTTCGCATTATTTCTTATTACTGCAAAATTATTGACAAGCAATCCTAAGGGATAATTCTTCTCAACTAAGATTTTTCTTGACTTTTTCAACTCATGATACTGGTGATTTACGTTTGCTAGGTGCAGACTCCTTACAATCTTTCGTTTCATAACCTAAAA